CATGAGAGAGGTCGTACCTTCTCTTACTGATTTATGGTATAGGAGGACACCTACTCTGTATCTGTTTAATTATAAGAGCCCTTTGTTTAGGTGGACCGCTAGACTCCTGGCACCAGCTCTGGGGAGTCGTTCACAGGGTCACATCTTGACACACACACAAAAACACACACGCATACCTACACATACACACAGATGGTACTCTTTGTTCACGTGTATGCCTATGTAAGATGTCATATGTTAATGAACCTATGCATATTCATGTAACCACAACAAAGAGCAGTGCTACGGGGGAGCTAACTGAGAGTGACTGGGGTTCGAGCGTCAGGAGCAGCGCTCGTCACAGTTCTCTCCCTCGTGCACGAGATCACACAAAGAGCTCTGCCTGGTGTCCAGTGCTTTTTGCCATTGTAGTAGAATTGTCTCTAATTGTTCCAGCGAGGGGTTTGTGCTAAACAAACCTATCAACTACCTGTCTTAGGTGTAGGATTTGGTTTAGGTTACTATCTTAAAATCCACCCGGTCAGTGCCAAACCAGCTACAATTAGGTTTGCCAACAAATATTCTGCATTTTATTCTGCAATCAAATATTTAAAACATTCGCTCGATCACAAAATTTGTGAGTGGGGTGTGGGGGTTATACCCTTGGCAGAACATAATGCAAAGCTGGATTTTCACAACAAACGTTGTTAGAGACTGTGCTGCTGGGGAGCTAACAGAGTACTAGCCACCTTTACTTTTAATACCAGAATAGGTGTGTGGTGTAGGACAAGATGTAGCTCTCACTGCACCAGTAAGAGGGAAAAGCGAGAGAGTGGTGAGTGATTACTATATCACCTAACACATAAGCTGTGAGAGACATAAGCTATAAGCTGATGTAAGCAGAACAACTGAAGGTAGATGGTTTTCAGTAATCTCATCTGTCTGAGTCTTTTAGAATACAAGTCTTTAGTTCTATTAACTCCTTTAGGCTGTATTTATCATTTATGTAAAACTATCCCAACGTAACAGGTGGCTAATAACAAACCTGGGCTAGCATAATGGTTGTAGCATATGTTTGAAAATTCAAACCTTCCTGATTCTTACTGTAGGTCTTCTTACCCATTTTTTTTTTACCTTTTGCTTATTTAATAATGTGTTGGTTTGAACCTAATGTGGACTTATTGAACATAGTGAAAAATTAGGTATTTTAAAGAAAACTCAAATACTAGTAGGGGTTGGACCAGGAAAGCTCTTTCTCCACCTCTTCCACCATCACCACCTCCATCTCACCTCAGACAGCAGTGAGGTGTCACCTCCCTCTTTCACACATCACTCAGCACATTTATCACACACAGTTCCTTTTTTGTCTCTCTGTGCTCACCTGGCCTCACTCTCATACGCAAGTTTATTTTGTCTTATAAGGACTGCCACAAAGAAGAATAGAGAACAAAGCTGACAATTCTGCAGGCACAGAAATTGTTGCCCCGATTATGTCTCATTACTCACTTTCTTTAAAGCTTCAAAGGCACGCATGTTTAAGACTGCACACACTCTGAGCATGTATTGGCTCAGTGCAGATATTTATACATAAGTGTGCTGTGACTGTTGAGATTCATTTGAAATGCTTTAGTGAAACCAAGAAGTGAGTGTGATAGAGTAATTTGAGCTTTGCGAAATTACACAAGTGAAATTGGAGCAAAAGCTTTTTGAGCTCCCTCAGCAATGTAATGTGATTACATTACATAAACATGTTCGTACACTGTCACGAAATGACAAATCTGAAGCACCGAGTTGGGATTGTTTTCGAAGAATGATAAAGCTCGAAAATAACATGCAGATCTCGCTCTTATAAATGGATCGATTTGAAGCAGACAGTAATAAAAGTCTCAGACTCTGACAGAAAACCTGACTTTTGAGTTATGGATGAGCTCAATCATGTGACTTCAAAATGCAGTGTCCACCACCAGTTTATTCTGCTGTTCACATAATCCCAGAGTGGAATAACTCCTTTCTCCTCACACTGAAGTAAATTGTTTACTGAAAATGAAGCAAACAATTGCAGGGATTTATTTATCTAGAAGCCTCAGATTTTTATCAAGCTCCCTGCTGTGAAACAGTACATTGCGACTATTTGATTGTGCTGGATTATTGTGTTTGTGACAAGATAAAGCACATTTACAATAAGCTGCAAATTAAAACTGAAACTGTTCTGGTTGCAGAAACCAGGCAGGAGTTTCACAGTTTCACTGGTGCGTGTCTTGATTTAGTGATTAAATAGACCAATACAATATTTGCGCTGCAGCTTTAAATAATTGTATAATTACTTTTGAGGCATAAGCTTATAGCTATAATGTGTGCATTATTAGTTTAATGACTTTACCATACAGTCACAATAAATACACATATTTGGACACATTACCTAAAAATCTAAACCAGGCAAGGGAAATAAATGATGAACAACAAAAACTATACTATTTTGTTTTATGTCTTTCATATATACTTTCAATGCAGGATCCTCATATAAAAAAGAAAGCCCACCCTCTTTTATGTATCAGGGTAAAATGAGAAATTATCTGGTTCTAAAACAATTTAAAGAGAACATCAGCTGAAGAATAACATGAAATATTTTACTATGTAATTTTTGTGTTGTTTTTCAAAAACTAAACCAAAATCCAGAAACAGGGTGGGCAGTATAGTCTCAAAATTGGAGGAAGATATTTCAAGAAAATCTGCAATAACAATATTTCTGATGATATAGAGAAAAAAATTGTGAACATTTCATGGACTCGAGTTTATAGCCTTTATAAGTGCAAGTAAATGAAGACTATTTTCGATCCATCTTTCCCAAGCATCTACTGTCACTGAGGACAGATTTCCTCATTTGAATTTGAATTTCCATTGAAATAAGGTCCCATTGTAGTGCAATATTAGTCGCAATATTAGTTTTAAATAAAAAATGTAGATGGATAACATGAGTGTGTGTAAAACTTTGGTTTAATTATAACTAAAGTAAATACTGTATCTAGTAACTCTGAGCCGACAATATTATGACAGAATACAACTGAAAAATATTTTCTATTTTCTGCTTTTCCACCATTTAACTGCATTATTATTGTCCATCCAGCATTTTTTCTTCGTGTCATCTAGAGTGTCAGTAGCACGTGTAACCAGTGAGGCTGCTAGTTTTTTGTCTTTCACAGCCTGGTTCTATGCAGCAGTATGTTTTTGCCTCAAGTAATGAAACATGTTAGCTAAGTTGTGCTGCCGTGCTCTGTTTAAAGAAAGGACCTTTCAGACCCTTCCAAACAGACTCTACTTGTTCAGTCTTTTTCTAACTGTTCTTTAATCTCCTAGGACCTGGCGTCCACATATGTGGATATCACATTTTGGGTTGTCTAGACCAAAATAGTCAATTTTGCTCTACAAGCCCATATGGAAAAGAAATAGTAAAAACTTATAAAAGACTTGCATAAGATGTGGCCTACTTCATATAGTGAATCATACAAGGCTTATATGATTTACTCATGAAAGTGGCCACTTTCTCATTACTTTCATATATTGTTTTAGTAAGTATCCAAAACATACAAGTTTCATTTATATAATTTTTCAAGGGATCTTATATCTGTTTTCACTTTTGTATGCTTTTCATACAGGTTTCACACAAGACAGATACAAACTTTATAAGTTTTATATATATCTTTTCCATATGGGAGGGCCTGATATCCATTTACGAGGATGCTATACTGCCACTGTTCTGTCAAAATTTACAGTGAATGTCCTCTTATGTGGATCTCGTTTTTTCTCAAAAATAAAATCAGGTAAAAAAAAATAAAATCACGCAATTCTTTGTTTTTACATTCATCAGGTCCCAATCAGCCCAAATAGCAAAGAGAAATTAAAAATGCATGCCATGAAAGAGTTTGGGTCTTAGGAGGTTAACAGTGAAGTTTAACATCTGAAAAGTAACTTTTGATTCATTTCCTTTATTTTATTTATTTTTGTGCTTTTTCTTTGATCATTGCACAATCTTACCTTGGGGTGAAAATGCCAGAACACCCTCTTCTGGGAAGATTAATAGCTGTGTTAAATGTTTTCCACTTATGAATAATTAAATAATTAAAATAATTAATCTTAATGTTCTATTAATGAATTTTGTTGTCATTGCCTTTTTTTTTCAGAATTGCTTTTAATTTCGTTTTTAGTTTGCTTGACATCATCACTGGTGTGATAACTTTGACCTACCTCAGGATGCCTTCAGCAGCCATTCCTGAAAAGAAAAAAAGTTATAATGTACCAATGGCATTATAACTTTTTTTTGATGTAGTCTGTGGCGCAGTAATGGCTAATATAACAGGAACAGGTTTAAGGTAATTGTGGAAACCCCATTACCCAGTGACACATCTTTTTATTTCTCATTTGGAACAGTTAAATTTTTCTCAACGAGTCACCTTTTACCTGGGTGAAGCCAAGAGATTGATGCATATTTTTCATGCTTCTGTTTGCATCAGACCCTTATAGCATGTAGCATTATTTGGTCATCCCTTGCCTTTGCTGGGCTGCACTGCTGTATCATTTGGCACCTTATACATCAGTAGTTCTGCCAATACTTTCAACTTAATAATGAATGGTTGTGTAACAACAACCAACAGGCTTCTATTATAATCTGACTTCTGTGTGATAGACTAATGCTTACTCACTTTTATTGTTCCAGCAGGCTTATTGAATTCCTCCTGTGCAATTCTTCTTGGACTTATCTCCATGCTCTTGTCACTGTGACGTCTTGTTTGTGCTGTACAATCTGATTAATGAAAAAATTAGTACAGAGCAGCATCAGTCCTGTCCGCAGCTGTGAGGTGGGTTCATATTAAAAAGTAAAGCAAATAGAACAAAAATGAAAGCTGGTATCAAAGAACGTATAGTGAGAAGCAGGACATTTGCTTTGAAGTTACTGGACTCCTGTGCCTTCCATGGTATGCTACTTTAATTGCAGCTAATATCTAATACCTCTGAATTCTGTGCAGGATGGCCGTGTGGCCTTCATCGGGCACCAGCTGGGCGGTGTGTCCTTCTCACCCAACAGCCGTGACCAGCAGGTCAAGTTTGCTCGTGCTGTCCAAATCACATACTACCTCCGAAATCATGGACCCGTGGTGCAGGATGCTATTGCAGAGCGCTGGGAGAATGAGTTCTGTGCCCTGGCCAGTCGACTGTCCACAGCCGAGGTCCCCCATGCAGCAGACCAGCTCCACATCCAGTCACTCACATCCTTCAGTCTGTGGCGGGACTTCCACCAGACGGGCCTGCTGGCCAAGGGTGAGGTGTTGGTCAGTCTGGTGCTGGTGCTCCTGGCCGCCACCATCTCCAGCTCTATGCGGGACTGCCTAAGGGGGAAACCTTTCCTGGGACTCCTGGGTGTGCTGACCATCTGCATTGCCAATGTGACGGCTGCAGGGATCTTCTTCATATCAGATGGGAAGTTCAACTCTACACTACTGGGGATACCATTCTTTGCAATGGGTGAGTGGCAATATGGGTCATAACAGAAAATGTGTGTTCATGTGTGTGTGTGTATACAGTTGTTTGGGTAAAAATGCTTATCTTAGGTTCACACTGATAGTGAGTTGATTGTGGTTTGCAAATTGTGATGGGCAACACTGCTGCAAAGTAATAAGCATGGTATGTGTTTGTTTGGCTGATCTTTATCACCACAACCTTTCTCAAGGCAATCCTATCCTTACTGAACAGAATTTCAGGTTGAACTCCATCAAAATCCAAACCAGAATTTACCATGAAGTCACGTCCAATATAATTAAAATCTAAATTTGAATTCAAAGTTATGTTTAACTCATGGCACATTTCAGTCATTTGATAGTCTTGATTCACTGCAGGAACTCCTTTTTGTGTTTTTTAAAAATTTTTTGTCTGAATCATGAATGCCCAAGTCATCAAAATTCACGAGTTTCTACTGCAGTGATGTTGTGGGTTTTTATTTTTAAGTGAATGAGTTATTGTTTGCAAATGTATACATACCACCGTGTACAGTAAAAAAAAAAAAAAAAGACATTTACTCTTTTCTCTGTAGAGATCACACTGAAGTCCCATCCAAACTAGAGGGCAAAGCAAGTTCACTGAAATACTGTGAAGGTGCATCCTTATCTGGTAGCACAAGACTAATTAACGCCTTAAAGCTTTTGTGTGATGAGACTCACTACCAATAAGTTATGCCCATGAGGTCCAAGTCATCCTTGGTGATGACTCTATCCTATGGGATTATGTCTTTATTTTAAAAATTGTGTTCCAGAGTCTTAGCAATGAGACAAAAAACATTCTAACATTCTAACTGAAAATCAAAAATGTATTTCCTTTTATTTTTATTTTTTTACAAAAAACCCCTACAAAAATCAAACAGTTTGCTAACATACCAGCTTGCTGTTCCTGTTAGCTAAGGCCATATACATCTTTCAAATAACAAACTATAGTATAGGATGCCAATGCAGTAAAGTGTTAATGCAATGTAAATCTAAGATCTAATCTAAGAAAAACATTTACTCAGTATTTCATGGTATCGTAAGTTACATGTTGTAGAGGAGAATTTTCCCCTCCAGCAGGCTTGTTTTTGTTTTGTATTTTTTATTTGTTTGTTATTTTTTGTTTTTTAGAAAATTACAGAATATGCCTCGATTGCATAAAGTGTCATAAGATTTTTTTTCCCCCAGTTCAATCCTTTCAATTTTATTAGAAAAATAGAAAGCAGTACAATACAATATCAGTATTTTAATCCTTGACATTGACAACTAAAAATGCAGGTACTGAACATTGTAAATTAACATAAATATTACTTCAAAAAATGACCTGAATCACATTGTTTCTTAATAACCAGTTATCAGTATAAACCTTAAGCTACAGTCCCACACACCAACACAAATCCCTATCCTTATGAAGACACACATATGATCTTTGTTTTCAAACTTACCTATGAACACAAAGTCGACAACACCAAGCAAAGATGAAAACCAGCACAAAGAGACTTCAAAGCGATTGCCACACTGACTCTACTTTAGAAATATGAACAGGTAGAATTGGAGGCTGTGGCCTGACTTCTAATCAGTCTGTTACCTGTTGAAGTTCACTCTGGCTGCTGGCTGTTGGGTATACACTTAGCTTTATCATCACTCATTTTTGGCTAGCTTTGCGTTGGTGTGCAGATAACTAAAGAAACTTTGTAACATGATTAATGATAGAAATGTAAGTGTAATTTTAGTAATGAATTTAGTTCAGTAATGGGTTGCTGTGTTATTGAAAAATGTAGTGTGATTACAATAACTCAACAGTGTTTGCCAGTAGAAAACCTGCTGAATCAGCAACATGCTAGCAGTGAGATGTGCATTTTCAGGTATTCTTGATGCCAAATTGGTTATCAGTTTTGGATGATGTGGCAAAGAAGAAAGATTCTTATTGGTTTGTAAAGGTAGGAGTAGGGCTGGGCAATATGGCCTAAAATCCATATCACTGTATAATTTGAAGCATGTATCAGGGTCATCAGCATCCTTATGTATGAATTCTGACCTCGAACCGATTTTATGTAGTACAAGGCGCACAGAAATCTGTCAAAAATGTTTTAGTACAACTTTAGTAAGCTATGAAGGATCAGTGTTGCCAACTCCTCAGTAAGGAAAATCGCTATTGGTTGTCCTAAAAGTCGCTAGAATTCGCTAAATGACGTCATTGCCTAATTTGCATAATTGGTCATGCTAATGTAATTGCAACCTATGTTGTTGGAGAGAGAAATAAAATAGTGGAAGAGACAAGAAGTGAGTAAAAAACATTGTAAATGCATTTAGAATTTATTCAGAACTATAAATTTAATTTCTTTTAGCAATTATTGTTTTTTAATGTCACAATTCCAACCCTGCTCCTTTACCCGGGCTTGGACCGGCATAAGTGACCCAAAATAGACGCTCTGGTGGAGTTACTTTGTGTGTGTGTGTTTATAAGTAAATGGTAAATGGCCTGTATTTGTATAGCACTTTTCTAGTCCCTAAGGACCCCAAAGCGCTTTACACAACCTGTCATCCACCCATTCACACACACATTCACACACTGGAGATGGCAAGCTACAATGTAGCCACAGCCACCCTGGGGCGCACTGACAGAGGCGAGGCTGCCGG